GTTCGTACGGTCCTTAAGAGTCCTTAAATTTTTTTAAATCGATTTTTGGTCTTTAATTTTAGCTAAAATCAGTAGAAGGTCCTTAATTTTAATCATCTGAAATTTCTCTCTGTTTTTATGACTGCCATTTTGAGTGTGAATTAGCATTTCAGAGGAATATTTTTGGTAATTCACTGACATATATGGTTATCTTTTGAATGGGTTCATAGGTAATAATTTGTTTCTATTTCTAATATAAATGATGGGATACTCGAGTTTCTAAGCAAAAAGTGAAACGTAAGCATTTCGAAATTCATTTTTTCTAATAAAGAGCTCTTAAACAACTTTTTGCTTTTGGGGTTGTGAATTCTTTTATTAAATGGTTTTAAATTTGACAACTTGTCAACATTTTACCTATTTTAAGATCAGTTTCTATAGAAAATTTTTAATTCCAAGGTCAGAATTTTTCGGCGATTTTTTTAAAACATCATAACATTGATAAATTTCGTTAAAATAATGGTAATATCTTAGAATTATATTAAAAAAAACAACATTAAAATAAAACATTTTTATTTTTCGCTGTCATATTATAAAGTTTCATTTTGGCAACTTATTATACAATATTTTAAATCTGAAAAATAAACAAGGTATATAACTATAAAGCATAATTTTCAAAACAGCTCTTAGTAAAAGCAAAATTAGCTATGTAATTAATTAAAATGTCTTCTTTTAAATTTTTTCATAGTAAGCGTTTTTCCCATGTAATTGTCTCAGATTACATAATCCAACACCCATCAAGTAACCATCAACACCATCAAGTAAAACTTATTCTTTCCATTTGCTGAGACTTATATATAAAACAACTTATCATCTCTGGCACTTTAATGGCTTATTGGAACCTTAAAGTATATTAACTGGGTTACGACCCCTGGAACTCTACACAAAGCTATGACATTAATTGCATTAAGCAGAGCTTGACTAACTTTCAACACTTGCCAACCGTGCCTACATCAGGCCTTTCAGGTTTGTTCAGCAGGTCTCTCTATAGACAAGCAGCAGAGGGACAACATTCTGTCTTTTGTTATGAATCATGTTGATTATGATTTCACTTCTCATCTTTAACCTATGCCGTTTGACATAAAATCTCCCTACTATTTGCTAAACCTCTAGACTGACCAAGTATGTGACAAAATAAGACATAAAAAAAAAAAAAAAAAAAAAAAAAAAAAAACATAAAGCTAACTATTAGTAAAACGTAAATGTCTCTTATCTTCTTTTAAATATGTCCAACTATTATAAGTGTAAAATATTTAATGCTACTTGATAAACTGCATGAAGTTTATTTTATTCTCATACTTATTAATAATTATGTTAGTTAATTCATGTTTAGTAATAATGCATACTACTTAGGGATCTATTTCATTTTTAGGATGGTATTACAAAAGTGAAATTCAGGCATAGAATAATATTTTTAATTGAATTTATTCAGTTCCCATTTGCTCATAGGTCCTTAATTTTTTTCATTAATGATCCTTAAAAGTACTTAATTTCTGTACGCAGAAATGTGTACGAACCCTGATTTTGCGAGAACCTCTTTTCAAACATCAGTTCGAAACAGTGAAAATAACTGTTAGAATCCAAGATGCTTAGTATTGCCAGTTTGGCTTTTTTGGCAAAATTAAAAACCATAGTCCAAAAATCCATCCCCAAAAGGTGAATTTAATGCTACGAAGCAAAGAATTTTGAATTTTAAGAAAAACCTTTATTCAATAAATACTGACATTTTGAAATGTAAACTAACCTAAGTCACTGAATATGATTATTGCTTCAAGCAAGTGCATGCAATGTTTAGGTGTTTGGCATATTGAAATGGACTAAATACTAGGAGGCATACTGAAATGAATAATTTATTTCTCTAAATGTAGACTCAGTAAAACTAAAAGGCTTAAGATGAAAAACCTTTTCCCTTTCTCTCTCTCTCTCTTTTTTTCTTGTTTAAATAATTTTTGGGAAAGGTTGTAAGCAGATTGCTGAAATTAGTTTTCAGTGACTTATAAGTTACTGAAAAATAATATATCTCGCATGCAAGAGTTTTGCGGGAATGTGCAGAACAAGTGAGCATTGTTTATCTAGTTCTGAGTTATCTTGTAGTAAGCATAAGAAGTAAAAATGTTATCTTATACACCCATTACAAGTATACTTGCAGTAGCATTTTTTTATTTTTAAGAGTAATCTGGTATGTCTATATTTTAATAATAAAAGAGAAAAATATTTTAAAAGCATAAAAATGCAGTTAGAATCTAGGCACATGTGAGCGGACGTACCATATCAACTTTGGCTGTAAACGTGTTAACTTAATGTCATTTATAAAAATTAGACAACTTATCAAGAATTAATTTGGTTTATGCAAAATGATTATGAAGGTCTTTAGTTTGTGACATTGTGTTTATCCATTACTGCTATTAAATTGTACTAAGACAATTTGTTTCATCCGAATGGTTTGATGGCAAAGATATCTATGGGAAGTCTTCAGTTCCAAGGACAAATTCTTAGAACAGTGTGATGAATAAAATGGTGCATATGTGTGTGTGTGTGTATGGGAGTGAGCAAGCAACATCTTCTGAAATACAGCCATGTAATGGTATTCGTGTATTAAATGTTATAAGCAGGATTCCAAATTGCAGTCCTATACAATGTTTTCTAATGCCTTTGCAAACTCTCATTTCTGTAATTTTTTGTTAAGAACAAATTCTAAATTATTCTGGTTACTTCAGCTTTCTAGTTGGTTTAATGCCAGATAGTAAGGCTTTTACTGTAGTATTAATGTTAATGTAAGATGCAGTGGCTGTGCATGCTGGTTGAAAGATTAATAATTATTTCAATTTGCCATTCAGTCTCCTTACTTTTAATTAAGCTGATAAGATTCTTAAAATTAGAACTAGTGACATACTGAGTACTACTACTGCCTCCCCCCGAAAAAACAATATATATATATATATTTTTATAAAATACATTAAAAGTTTGATTATTTTCTTCTGAAGCTTCTTTTTATGTTACCATTCCCATCAACAAAAGGCCATTTGCAGGGGGTTGTAAATTGTTTTAAGGCTTACAATAGAAGCATAACTATTTGCAGTTTGATACATGTAACTGTGTGGCATTAAATAATGAATTAATTTATATAGTAACTGGGAAAGATGTTGAAGAAACAGAAAGCAGTAGAGTGACAACAGTACGTACATCATCTGCTGTAAACCCTAAAATTATTTTCATTTAGATAGCATAGAAAATTAAATGCAACTTACAGATTATTATACTTTTTATGAAAAATTACCAGTAAAAACTTTATAAAAAATGATTTATTAATGGCCTTTGTTAGTTAACTATGTAGGTTTAAAATTCTATTAAGTGCTATAAGTTGCATTAAGTTTTATGCTTAAGTTTCCTTCTTATTTTCTCTGCAAAAATTATAATTAATAAAAAATATGAAAGTAAAAATTATCCTTCTTTCCATCTTGCACTCACAAATCATTACGGGAATATCCATTTACAGTTATTAAAGCCTGAAAAAAGCATGTCTGCGATGTTATCGTCATGCGATGTTTTGTAGATACTTTATTTTTTACTGCAATATCGATGTTTTTAAACCGCAAAGTTTTTGAACCCCTTTATTTTTAATGATCACGTTTTGTACCACGATATTTTAGAACTTTGGTGTTTTCTCTTTGCGATGTTTTCGCCTTGCGTTGTTTTCTCCGCGATGCTTTTGCAGCGACATTTTCGGCTGTAACCAAATTTTTGGATTATTATATATTTTACATGCATTTAGATACTTGTACTTATTTTACGTTTGCTTTCTGAACTTGAATGATATTGCAAATTAGTTTGCAGCAATAATTAATAATTTTATTTGTTTACAATTAAATTTTTGTTAGCTTTATATGAAGGAGATAATATCGTATTTGTTAAATCCAAGGTACGATTATATATTCTTTTAGATCTCTACAGCACAGTATATAAGTTGCTGAATTGCCCGAATTTGAAACTTGATGCAACAAACTTTATCAAACTCAATGAATTTTTCCTTTTACTTTAAAGTTCATTTGTAAATGGCATTTAATAATATCCACTGGGGGGGGGAAGAGGTCCACTGAACAATTATTACTGCTGAACAAACGTAGTAATTAACACTGAGATTTTTGCTAAAATTACCTTTGAGCTTACCATATGCCCCAGATAACACATAAATACATTAAAATTTTACAGTTACTGAAAGAATCGAAGAAAATTCTAAATTAAAAGTTTTTCATAGTCTTTCTAAAGGAACACAAGAAAAGAATATGTAATATTTGAAATTTGCTGGAAAAAGTTGTCAAAATATGATACTATATGATTTTGTGATGTAAATTTTTTTCTAATAGCAAATATGGCATTTTAGGGGCTTTAAAAATATTTTTAATGGTACTTTTTTGCTAATTTTGACATGATGGCTACTGCTGTTATTTCTCCTGATTTGGCACATTTTTGGATTTTGGTAGCTAGTAAAAATTTTGCTGACATAGCCTTAGAGGGGGGGGGGAAAGATCCAGAACTAAAGTGAAAAATAATGCAAAAATGATTAAATTATTGAAAAAAAGCACTTTTTATAGTTTTCCATAAATCATTACAGATTGATGTGAAAAAATTTTCTTCTAGTTTTGTTTTTCTCATCATCATTTCCCTCCTTCCCATGTAATGTATAAAACTTAAGTTAAGCATGCTTCTACTTCAAAGTTGTAGTATGACCAAAATTTTTTAGTTCAATGGGCTTATTTCATTTCTTATCTTAGGATTACAAGCCTGTGGCCAACTATTTAATTGGACAATATTTTTAAATACTTTGTGCATTAAAAAAATAGTTTTGTGTACTGTATGGAATTAAAAAAAAAAGTGTTTTGCATATTTAAGGAAAGTGAAACAGTGTTTTGAACTTAATTGTCATAAATAATTGTATTATGATTAATTAATCCGATTTTCTTTAGGTTAAATCTCCTGCTCACTTTGTAATAAAGGAATCTCCTAGCTTGAACACATCATCAGTGTCAAAAACTTTCATAGAAGCTGAGGAGATGATGCAGAAATATTACAGATCTGTTGAGCATTCATATTTTGAAATACCATTAAAAGATACAGTAAGTAACTTTTTAAAATTATTAGCTCACTTTTATTTTTAACTTGTTACTTAGATTTAAATGTTTTCTACTGTGGTACTTTAAGTCTTGTGTAAACTTTTATCAGTTTGTTATATTGCTATGAACAGAGAACACTGAATATGGATGAAACTTGATAATTTTAGTAGTTTTGTTGAAAGCTGTCAAATAGCCTTTTTTAATTGTTCAGAATTTTTTTTTAATTATGTGGTTTGTTTTGGGAAAGGCTGTAAGTTTCATAAATCAAATATAAGAATAACTTGAGAATAAATTAACACTTTTCTTTATTTATAATGGCTTTGCAATCTCTAAAATGCTTAATAATTTTAATTTGTAGTCAGTTGGCCTCTGTTGTAGATTGTCATAGAATGTGATATTTTATTGGACTTAATTCTACAGAGCTTAATCTTAGACATAAATAGTTAAAATATTAGTTTACAAAGCATTTTGTAGATACTTTTTTTAATGGTTGAAAACAGCAACAATTAGTAATCTAAATGTCATATTCTTTTGGGAGGGGAAGAAACAAAAAGTAGGGCAATGTTTTTCTTGTATACCGAGGAAGTTTGAAATAACTAACATTGATATAATTTTTCCAGTTTTATGCTTTTAAGATTCAGCAATTAAATACTGTAGACTGCTATATGGTAATTAGGTGTAAGAAAGTTGCTTTTAGTTAATAAATTATCATATTTTAGATGTTAGTGAAACACTGGATACTAATAGCTGTTTAACTGAAAAGTATGCAGTCTGCATATACCCACATCGTACTGTATTTAAAAAAGTGTTGAAAAGAATTAATTGTAATTTTCTAAAATTTGCAATCCACTTGCTTGTAATTATCCTGATAAAAAAATGCAAAGAAAAAAATTGGGGTATTTCTTCGTTACAGTGGCCCCGGAGATTGAATCGCCAGTCAACCGAGATAATCTCGCCAAAATCCAACTGCATGTTCTTATACCTCGCCATGTGATCGTATATTTGTACCGGCTCCATGCTCTTATACCTCACCGTGTAATCATATATTAGCACATAAATCAAATATGTTGTTGGAACATGCAGTTGGATTTTTGCTCTTGCCGCATGTTCTTGTATTAATTTTTTATGAGGTTTTTGAATTCGCATTTTTTATTAAAAAATATATTCATGGCTTTTTTGTGAATTTGGCATGAACAATCTTTAATTTACCAAGCATTGTGGCAGATGCCATTTAAACTTTTCAAGAAAGAGGCCTTTTACCTGACAAATGAGTATGCAAAAATGGCTGCAACATGAAATTTTGTGTTAACGATGAGATCATTTGAAAGTGCAATGTTAAAAATTACCGAAAGAAAAAAGGCCTCCATGCTGGAAATTGGTTCAGTGGCTCCAGAATATTGTTCATCACTGCTATTAGATTTATGTATTCTTGGGCAGAGGACTTTATGTCCATGAAATGGTATAACAAAAAGTGATTATTATGTGTGAAATTTATTATTTATATGGTGTTAAAGTGCTGCAGTTGACTGGAATAATTACATGCAATAAAATAATTATAATAAGGATTCTTAAAAATATTCTTAAGAAATTATTATGTATATAGCTTTTGATTTCTACAGTGAGAAAGCTTATAGTCTTCATTGTCATCTGAAGACAATTTTCATAGAATTTTTCTCATCATCAATTTTTCGTTTCCAATTACTAAATATTTCATTGTATTGAGATGTGGAAAAAATAAATATGAATCTTGCAAATAACATATTAATAGTTATCAGAATTGTTTCAAAACTATTCATAATATAAATAATAATTCAACTATTTTTGAGCAAAACAGCAATATTTATAAAGAGTGAAAGCATATTACTTTTATATATATTGTTCTAAATTTACTGCTATTATTATTTTTTTTACATTTGAATGTTTTAAAGGTAGTAATTGCCTATAGTGATAAGAAATTTTATCGGGCTCAAGTTCGGAGCATTCTTAATCGGACCTTGGGCCATCTTTTCAGGTAATTATACAATAACTTTTTATTCACTTAAGTATTTATTGTGCAATATAAATGGTAATGCCATATAATCAAATTGAGAAATATTTATTCCATTTTTTACCTTTGTACAAATAATATACATTTTTTATTCAAGCTTTTTAATTTATAATTTTTTGATATTTTAAAATTATTAAAAATGTGGTATTTAATGTTAAAAATTATATTTGAAATGTTTTATTTTATTGCTTGGTTATTTGTTAAATATTGTTCCGGATTTTCATTATCACTATTAAATACCAAAATAATAAAATCACTGAGAGTAAATGAACTGTTATAGTACATTACATATTAATGCAGTCTCTTCAGTTGCGAAAATATTAGAGTGTGCCATTCTGTGGCAACTCTGCACAAAAGTTCTTCAGTAAAGCAATATTGCCGTTTTTGTATGTGTTTATTTTGTTGTATTACAAATTCTAATGCTTTGACAAATTGGATATTTTTTCCCTTAAACTCAATTGTAAATTATGTGCTTATGAAATTTGGTAGCAGTAGAAGAATCATGCTATAAAATTTCCGCATGAATATAGTATTTTGCCATAAAATTACTAAAGGAAGCAATTGTTTTGAATTCTAAACACAATTGCCATGAAATTCCTACCAGAACAAAGGCAATAAAAATGAACTAGTAAGTAAGCTTATTGATTGACTTTTGACATAAATACCTGATTAAAATGCAAAATATGTAATGATATTTATGTGTATAATACGTAAACTTTCACAATTAAAATGCATGATGACTTCTTTTAAAAATTTTGTTCATATTCTTCTTTTAAAAAATGCTAGATCGTGCCAAGGTGGTTGCATTAATAAGTACCATATTTATATATTTTTGACAAATTATAATGCTCAGCTGTCTGAATTCCCTAATATAACTATAAAGCTTGCTTACACTTACTTTGAAAATCATTAGAACATCTCAGCTTGAAATTTTTCTGTTAATATTATCAATTTTCCTAACTTATCAGTGTAAAAGCAAAATCTATAATTTTAAAATTGGAAAAAATTCATCTTTGCCATCCAGTTATGGAAAACACAACCAGTCTTTTTTTTTTTTTTTTTTAACCCCTGATAGAAGGTTTGAACTAGATGTGTATTCTAACTGAGAAGGTATATTACTTTTCCAGTTTTAATAGCTGATAGAAATGGGCACATGTGATAGAATTAAAAAGAACAGAATTTTTTATTTAAATTATTGATGCTATAATGTTTCATTCTTCTAACACAATGGTTCTCTTATCTTTAATATCCCATCCCATTTCTTCTCAGCATATTCTAACATCATTTCTCATTCCATAGACTCCCCCTTAAAGTTTGATTGATGTTTTCGATACATTAATTGAAATGAAAATTATTTTTAATACCCATTAAAAGTACATATAAATGTGTCGGTTTGTCCAGAGGTCTGCAGTTCAATTCCCGGCAAAGACGTCGCATATTTTTCCCCTCTCTTGCTTCCGAAATAAACCTAATGTCTATACATAATTGTAATTACCACTAGAAGCCAATAGTTTGATGTTGATCTTTAATAAGAAAGGTTCTAAGCATTTCAGGAAGTAGCAGTGGAGGATTTACATATAAGCTACACAAGCTATAGCTTAGGGCCCTCACTTTTTTGGGGGCTTCCCGGAAAACCTGTAGGTATCTGAAAATCATATTTGGCATTAACATGTAATATCTGCCCCATATCTCAAATGGCTTAAGGCCTTATCAAGTTTAAATCCGGCCCTGGGAAGCAGTCTGTCTCATCAAATGTGTTTTTAATAAAAAATACTGTCTTCAAATGTATTTTTGTTTATTTTTTAAAACTGTTATATAGTAACAATTCACATGTAGTTTAAGTAAGTCTATAATTTTTAAGTACTTTTTAATTAAAATTGTGCCAGTTGTAATTGTGCACTGAATGTATAATTTTCACCTCACGATTAGCTACAGAGTGATGTCAGTGCAAATAAGTCTGAAGAATATTACATCAATCTAGTAATTTTCCTTTTAACATTTTAAATTACTTTTCTCCCTGAATGCTGATTTTTTTAAAAAAGAACACAGTATGGATTACACTATTTAGTCGCTACCAAATGATGAGTCATCATTAAATTCTTTCAAGAGAAAGTTATCATCTAAACTGAAAACTTTGAAAAATCACAAAATGAAATTAAAACACTACTATGATTCTGCAGTGAAAGATTGTGCAGCCAAAAGATAGTTCACAAAGCAAAAGTTTTTTCCAAAGTTTTTATATTCCTTTTCTGGTAACTATTCAGTTTCTGATGTCAAGAGCTTTTGTCAGTAAAATTCCATCAATTGCATACAAATGAACTTCTGTATAGCTGCTAATTGAATTAATTATATGTCTTCTTGAAATCCCTGAAAGACATTAAACAGTTGCTGTTTGGGAGTGGAACAATGCATACCTTTGGTAATGGTCGCAAGTTTTTTTTAAGTGGCATAAGCTACATAACCTCAGCATGTGCACCATTGGTTGTGCACAAGATTCAGGCCAATATTCCACGATTGTCTTTATATGGTGCAAAATGGCATGCTTAGTGGCATTGCTGATTTTGGTCTTCAAGTCTGTAGTGTTTGAATAAAGAAGTTATGTCATGTGAAAGTGGCAGCCATGGAATGGGTCCCTTTCTCCCGATCCATCTGCTAAGGAATATTTTGTCGAAAAAACTGTGAACACACAATGCCTATTATTGCAGTGTGCTATTCTGCTGAAAAATGACCTCTGGTTGACAATTTTCCAACTGGAGGCAAATGTAATTACTTAGTGTATTGTTGTAAACTCCGGTTGTAAGTGTTTGTTCATAAGAGGAAAAAAATTAAATGGTCCTAAAATCTTGTCATGTGGCATTCCATACCAAACATTCACTTTTGGGCTTTCAGCTTCTTCTAATCTCCAAATCCTTACATTATGTGTATATTAAATCAAAAGAAATTATTTGGAGAAATCTTTTGATATATGTGTGATAATACCACAAAAATTTGCTGCACAACCTCTTACAGGGACAATATTAGGATAAAATTGTTTGGGAACTTAGTGGATGCTCTGCGTATCATTAGGGTTGCCATTCTTATAGTTAAATTTTGCTCCAACATTTACATTTGATATCATTTGATATGTATTAACCAAAATGTACTTTTAATTTTATTAAAATCTGAAACTTTAAAATTATCTAACTTTTCATATAGCTATTAGTCATATCTTATAAGTATTCAGTAGGGTCACTATATTTAATATGAGCTGATCTACTGTATGCAGGAAAGTTTCTGGTTTCAGAATATTGTTTCATTATGAAACAGACAGAAATCATAAATGTTCTGTATGGATAGAGGGATGAAATTAACTTATGATGTTTGCTTATAACATGGCAAATCCAGAATCAGATGTAAATTTTAGCCAAAATACATGGAATATTTTTAGTACTGGACATTTTTAGAAACCTAAATTGATATGCAGTGCATAACAAGTATAAATAGGTTGTTCTAATTAATTTGGAATTGTGTGGGCTCTAAGAATGCTAAAAAATATTCATTTTGATGTTTTGTGAGCTAATTTAACCATCATTTTATGAGACAATCATTTCGATTAAAATTATTTATATATAAGATTTTACATGGAAGGTTTCTCTGCTTCACTTTGTAGCATTATATTTTTTCATGGTATTCAATGCAAACACTTGTTTCCAAATTTAATTATCCAGTTTTGAATCTTTAAAGTGTTATTTCTATTTCATAATTGTTATTTATATAAATTTACCTCAATTTCATCCTTTGTGTTTGCAGTTAATGGATTATTAAATTTATAGCATCATGCTTTCTGATTAATTTTATTATAGAGTTTATCTGGTTGATTATGGAAGAGAATGCAATGTTCCAAGAGAAAAGTAAGTATAACATTTCCCTCTCGCTGTTACATGAGACATGTATCAGTGTTCTAGATATTGCTAAAATTCTTTTTAAATAACAGGAGGGTGTCATCTTATTAGACTAGTATTTAATTTAGATTTGGACTGCTGCATATCACTCTCACACTAAAATAAAAATTCATCTGTGTGTACCAAACTTTATGGATTGATGTTTGGAACCATGTGCATTATCTAGTGTGCTTGATAACTTGTTTATCAATGACTTGATCCAGACTTAATTGATCCAGAGATTGTTAAAGTTTTTATTATAAGTTTTAATTATTTTCACTTTGATAAAGCTATGAGAGTATTAAAATTATTAAATTTTTTATATTTATGAAATTTAAATATTTAGTATTAATATTTATTCTTAAGGTTAGTTTTTACAATCGCATATGCTGTATAGGATTGCATGTCATATAGTGATTGGTATAGAAAAATTAATATTTAAAACATTTTACTTACATATTTTAATTAAAGTTTTTTCTTATAGATTTGTATCATATAATCTGAAACAATGTATGATATATAATCTTGTGTTTATGTCCAGGCAATTAATATCTTGTTCCTTTTTTAATCCTTATTCAATTTTTGTTTTTATTATTGGGTCTATATTTTATTTCTGTAATGCCTATAACTAAACTATTTTGAATGGTTTTATCAGCATCCTTCTGTATTCCTAATATAATAATACTAAGGAGCACTAAAATAATCAGCATAACAGCAGCAGGTTACTTCAGGAGGTTAAAGTAACAAAAGTTTAACTCATTGAATGGATATTTTAGGTGGTGGACTGTCCATATAGTTACGCTAAGCAAAACTCTTTTTCGTACCTAAGGTTTAAATAGTGTATATAAATCAAGTCATGTGAAATCAAAATATGCTTCATTCAAAGTAATACTTTTTTATGTAAATGGTAATATATTAAAACAACAGGAATTTATAATATGAATTCATATAAAAATAGTTTTGTTAAATTATATAAAAAGAGAATATGCAGTATGCATATACTTTTGTCTTACCCTTGATTTACCATAACTGCTATAACGTAAGTTTCTTTCTATGTGCGTGAAAAAATGTTTGTACTTAAATCAGGGTTTGTATGGTCCTTAAGAGTCCTTAAAGTCTTAAGTTTTTGCGTCCTTTTGGTCCTTAAAAGTCCTTAATTTTAGACAAAAACGGGCAGAAGTTCCTTAATTTAATCATCTGAAATTTCTGTCTGTTTTACGACTGCCCATTTGAGTGTGAATTAGCATTTGCAGGAATATTTTTGGCGATTCACTGACAAATATGGGCTATTTTTTGAATGGGTTCATGAGTTATAATTTGTTTCTATTTGTAATATAAATAATGGTGGGATACTCGAGTTTTTGAACAAGAAGTGAAACATAAGCATTTCAGAATTATTTAATTTTTTTGTAATGAAGAGCTCTCAAAGAACTTTCCGCTTTGGGGGATGTGAATTCTTTTATTAAACAGTTCTAAATTTGGCAATTATCAACATTTTGTCGATTTTAAGATTGGTTTCTATAAAAAAATTTTAATTCCGAGATCTTGGAATTTTTTGACGATTTTTTTAGAACATTCTAACATTGATAAATTTCATTAAAATAATGGTAATATATTGGAATTAATTTAAGAAATAACTTAGAATAAAGCATTTTTATTCTTCTTGTCATATTATAAACTTCCATTTGGCCACATATTGTAAAATTTTTTGAATCTGAAAAATAAGCAAGGATAATGCTATAAAGCAGAATTTACAAAACAGTTTTTAGCAAAAGCAAAATAGCTATGTAATTAATTAAAAATGTCTTTTTAATTTTTTCATAGTAAGAATTTTTCCCATTTCTCAGAATGATCAAAAATTTCAGAATTCTCAGAAAATGCATCAGTTTTCTCTATAAAATTAATTTCACACTTTTTTCCTCCTTTTTTTTAAAAAAAACATTTCTGGCTTTTTCCTGTTACAGAATTGGTAGGAGTAATTTTTCTTTAGGATTTTAGATATTGAAGCTTGGAAAGTTTAGAAAGATTTTAAGACAAATTTATAGACCTGCGATTCTAAAAGATTCCAGAAAAATGTGATAAAATGAAGGTTTCTGGAGTGTAAGACAAGTGTGTTTCTGACCTCCACTTGCTCCCTGCATTAGTTGTGTCAGCTCTGATAATTATAATTATAGTCTTCCATTACTGCTGCTGACATTGAGTTTATTATGACAATAGAGTTACTGATCTAGATTAAATTGAAATTAAATTTGTAGTCTTTGACCACTAGTCCATATTTTAGTTTGAAGGTGACTCTTTTGTTTAATTATATCACCACAAACTGTAAATGATTTTGTTAACATAAGAACAAGCCTATATGTTCCAAGTACTTTTTGAATAAGAAGCTATTTAAAACTTTATTTAAATTTATATCTGATTTATAGGTACTTTCGACATAGTGATAATTTATTTCATGTCTGTCGGAAAAGGGGAGGGTTGGACTATTTAACTTTACCAGATCAAGTAAGCCCTCATAGGTTAGTACATTGTGGAGAGATTGGCAGGTTGGGAGATAAAAACACGCAGAAAACTAATGAAACATTGTTTTGATATTGAGACAAATTCTAATTGTTAAAAAACATGTTAAGGAGAAGGAAATTGATATAAATTAGCCAAAATGTCGGGCAGGCTTTCAAATTAAAAAGACACTAATTATTTGTGTGAGTTTTATGTTTGTAGCTTTTTAAGGTGTAATTATCCTAATATTGTTAAAAATCAATGTCAGAAATGATGTATTTAAACTGTAAAATTTTATGAGATTGTGATATTAATAGGTTTTTAACATATTAAAAAATAAATTTAATTAATAGTGGCTAGTAATCATAATGACTACTAGGTTATCTAATACCTAATTAATTATAACTAAATGCATTCTCTTAAAAGTTATATCTGTATATTAAAGCAAGTTATGCCTTTTGTTAACACGCTGAGCCGGCATCGGACCCTGGGAACCGGCACTGGAATTTTCGTTGGCTGGCGTCTGTCCGCGGGAATGACAGTATTAAATTTAAAAAAATAAGTATAGCTCAATGAAATGTGATGAAACGTTAGTTTAATTCAATTTATGAAATATCTAAACAAAAATACAGCTTAGCTTTACACATATTAAAATACGAAACAACTATTTGGGAACATTTTGGCTATCTTGCATCCAAATAGTTTTTAATTGTCATCATAACATTTAGAAACAATACTTTCGGACTTTATGGCAGGTCCTTCCTTTTGTATAATTTATGAATAATTAAGCGGGCAATATTGCACGTTGATCGCAAATTGCCACCGGGTGATCGCTGCCGGCTGCACAGAAAGACGACAAATTCGGTGCGGGTCAACGTGTTAAACATTTACCGGGTCACAAGGTTGTTTAAAACACAAAAATATAAAAATTCATGTGAACTTATTCTTTGCATCTAGTGAGACTTAAGGCAAAAAAACTTATGACAGCTAATGCTTTAGTGCTAATAGAACCTAAATTATATTAAACGAGTTACAAGCCCGGAAATCAACACGAAGCTATGACATAGCAGGTCAGACAGTGGTGGCTAACTTTCAAAACTTCTAACTGTGCCTACATCAGGCCTTCAGGTTTGTTCTGATTAGCAGTCTCTATAGGCGAGCAGGAGCAGTGACAACAGCCAGTCTTTTGTTATGATCATGCTGATTATGATTTAATGCTCATTTTAACCTATGCTGCTTGACATAAAATGTACTTAGATTTACTAAAACTCTAGATGAGCAAGCATGTGAAAAAAGAAAAATAAAAAAACAAAAAAAAAAAAAAAAAAAAAAGCTGTTAGTAAAATATAACTAAATGCATTATCGTCTTTCAGATATTTCGAGTATATGAGTGTAAATATTTAATGCTACTGATAAATTCAATAAAATTTTTTATTTAAATTAATAATTATGTGAATGAAGGTATTGTTTAATAATAATGCAAGTATCACTACAGGCATAGATTATAATTGAATTTATTCAGTTCCCATTTGCTCATAGGTCCTTAATTTTTTTCATTAATTGTCCTTAAAAGTCCTTAATTTCCTTGTGCAGAAATGCGTACGAACCCTGTTAAATGTAATTTAAATCTGAATTGTCTTTAAAATTTATTATAATATTTTTTAGCTTATATGAAGCTCACAAAGACTTCTTAACTCATCCTTTTCAAGCAGTCGATTTTAAGCTATTGGGCATTGAACCAGCGGGTCTGCTACTAGATTCAGAAGATTTAAATGTTTCTTATGGGTAAGATAAAATATTTAAATTGTGTATTTTTTGTCTGCTTTACTATTATAATAGCTATGTAATTTATAGAATTTGTAGAATTAGGAGTGAAGTTTTGCTTAAGTGAGTTTTTGTGTAATGTACTTTTCGTTGCTTACACTTACTATGAAATAAAATGTTTATATTTATTTGTCAGGAGAATTTTTTAAAGAAATTGCATAAGCATATTAAAATTTATTATTAATATATTAAAGGCATAGTTAGGAAAAATGAAATATTTTTAGTAGTTTTTGTTATTGTTGTACATTTACAATTTCAATAATATTAAAAAATGGGTGCTTTTCAGTTAACTGGTTATCTTAACCCTTTGAGTAGTTCGGCTTTTTCAGTAAACGGCATAAGAAATAATCGTGTGTGCTCACCAGGTCTGTCGAAAAAACAGCAAGTATTTTGACTCAAACTACTTCAAGAGCGGCCCCACCTTACCGTGTGGATATAATTAAGCTAATTCTCCCCTCTGTTGAATTTAGCGAGTGAAATTAGTTTTTCTCCCTATGGTATCTTCGCCACAGGTTTGGTTGCTAAAATGTTATTTTATCTCCTATTTGGCTATGCTATAGTTTGCATACTAACACATATGCTGTATATTACTCATACCTTAATCAGGTTATGTGCCGAATACAGAAAGTTAGTCAATATACATCAGTAAAAGATTTCATTTTCTGAGAAAATACTTTTTAATATATGAAGGGAATTTGTGAGAATTTTTTTCTCTCGTGCTCCAATTTTTCGAATGCAAATTATTTGCAACTTATTTTAGTATTATGTTTGTATTTAATTTTCAAATATTTTAAGTTTATTACAGTTTAAAGTATTAGGTTTAAATAATTCTTTAGCTTGCATCATAAATTTATTAGTAGTTATTTATTTATGACTCTGTTTTGACTTGTGAGAAATAAATAAAGTATTATAATTGCGAAAAATTTTGATTTTTCATATTTCAAAGGAAATTTCCATTTTGATTAGTTCCATCATGACGTTTACACGTACGTATGTCGCATAACTTCACCATAAAATGTTGAAATTTTATATTTGGGAACTTATGACTAGTTTTAGTGCGACATGTGCCCGTATGTATGTTTGCATGTATGTCACATAACTAAAAAACGGTTAACTGTAGAATGTTGAATGTATCTGTATGGGATTGGTATAACATCTAATTGTGCACCTCTCCTTTTATTGCAATCGGCAGTGCCAAAGGGGCATTTTGGAAAGGAAGATCATATCTCATTTTCAAACGAAATAGGTTTAAATGAAGTTTAGCAAAAAATGCGTTTATTTGGCGTACAAGGAAGTCGTGGTGTCCGCATCAGATTTTTAACATGTTTCAAAATAAATAAATATATGGTTTGAATATCAAACGATCTCAAATATATGAGCTTTATTTGTGTGTAAATATTTTACAAGAAAGATAAGAAGTAATCTAAATAGCATACCTTGAAGAGAAACACATTAAGTACACACTTTTTTAAAGCAAAATTTAAAGAATAAGTGATTAAATTTTCTTTAAATCCCTTTTTTAAAATATTATATATGAGACCAGATATTATTTTCAGAAAGACAATTTGTAGAGTGATTAGGTTAGATGCTAAGGACGTGAAAAATGAGCAATGCCCTCACCGGGAATTGAACCTGGACCTCTTGAATACGCACTACCATGGGGGTGCGACCATTACACCACAAAGGATGTAGTGAGCAGTTAGAAAATACCTTATGTACTCTGCCTTTTAAAGGCCGACTGGAGATTAGGAGGCCCAACTGCCAAATCCTGGTGGTGAAAAATCATCATAAATCCCCCCTTTTTTTTAAATTCGGACGCCACTTTAGAACATTAGGTTATTCAAGGTTCGTAGCGGTCCTTATAAGTGCTTATAAGTCCTTATATTTGAAAATAAAATGTAAAGGCCCTTATAGGTGCTTACTTTTTCTTTAAAGCCCTTATTTTTTGTTTTTAGTGCTTTTTTTTTTTTTTTTTTTATGAACGTGCTATTTTTCCCTGTACCAAAGTCGAAACTAAATAAACAACTTTTCTTCCTAATAAGGAATGTCAGATAGTGAATCATATTGTCGGAAATAGCTTTTCCCCATTTCTCTGCATTAATATAACCTTTGGTGTGCACGAAGAGTACAGACAGGTGCCCATCGTTCTATTGGTCAAAGAATTGCAAAAGCAGTAGAAAATTCCAGTACATTTGACATTCTTTTCCTTCCACCCAAATACTACACACGTTTGAATTTCTATCAAGATCTTAAAAATTTGCATTCTCGTTCCGCTTGGTCAGTTCATATTCGTGTTTATTATGATCGTTATGCTTATATTATGAGTATTTGTATGAATGTTTATAATAGCACAGTTGCAGTAACTGCTGAAGTATAGTAAACTTCCAAAAATGGTTGTGTTTTAACACAGATTAGCTTTCTAAGGAATAATATTCGGAATGGCTTAAATAAAGGGAAAGTAATCGAATAGTCAAAATAATTTAATTTTTTTGGCCAATACATTGTACAGGACGAAGGTTGGGAGGTATCCCTTTCTCCGCAAAATCTTGAATACTGAAACTGTTACAGTTCACTGCAAAACAAGCAACGGACCATTTTTTTTTTTTTTTTTTGTCACTTTCCAATCAGGATTGAATAGGACTAAAAGTTCTGAGGTCTACCAACCCAAACGAAGAATGATTCTATTCTGGAAATTTAACGCCGTTTGTTGAAAAATTAGAATGAAAAACACCCCAGTTATTCCACCCCTTAATTTTGTTGCTCTGTGCTTTTCCAAATTTTGAAACTTTTGTCTTCCATAAATTCAGCTGCACTAGCTCTGGCGCTGGTCCTCGGCTTATCTGAATAACAAATGAGTTAAACTCATTTCAGGCAGCACTAAACATGATCTTTGACCTGAATATAATTTACAGAATCTATTTTTTATGCATAAAAAAAATTTCTGTTAAATTTCACCCCAACAGTATTTTGCAGCATTGTTTGCTGGAAGTTTGGAATCATTGTCAAGTGTAATGGTAATGCCAACATAAAAAATTACCATGATCCTTGGTATTCAGTTAATAATATTAAAAAAAAAATGTCTACACATTGCCATGCGAGTCATTTCTCAAGCTGCAGTTTGTTGATAGTCATGCAGTGTGATGAAAAAAAATAATAAATAATGATTTTCCAGATGGGTGTCAGTGCTATGGTGAAATTCAGAAGCGGGATTTTCCACACTTTTTTGAAAATATCAAATTTGTTAGTATAAAACATTAAAAATTCTCTGAGAAAAGTAAATAAGGGTTGTTGGTGATACAGATGTTCAGATTTTAGATCATTCCAGATATTGGATGGATTCTGGATATTGCGTCTTTCAAACTTTATACTGCATAAGTGATACATCAAACTATTGTATCAGAATTTTTTTTATTTTGTGTATCCTTATTATTATTACGAGCTCCGCCCTTAGGCACTACACAGAAAGGGAGGGATGCCCCATGGAGGTCTTTTTAAGGGAAATTGGCTCTTATTCACATTACAATGGGGAAAACTATGAAAACAGCCATGCAGCCAGCCCGTTCGCCGGGACTCGAACTTCGGATTGAACTACCAGTGTCCAGCAGCTTTTACCGCTTGGGGGCCTCTATTTTGTGTATCCGGATGTATATTATTACAGTGTCATACGTGCCAACTTTTACGAATTTTTCGTAATTTTTACGAAAATGCGTTTGTCTTTACGATTTTACGATCTTAATCCATTTTTTACAATTTTTTCCCTTTTTCAAGTGTTTTTAGTGATTTTTGTTAAAATTTTAGAATTTTTCGCCAATTCAGCGATTTTTGCCAATTGCATCGTGTTTTACCGCCAACTACCGACTACTTCGAATCCAGTAACCTGCGGTTTCTCCCAACTCGCCGCTTAACCAGCCAATCCAATGCGCTGAACTTGTTTCTCCCACTCTTTTTTTTTTTGTGGGCGCCAGATTATTTTTTGCGTGTTCGCTTCAGCAGCAAGAGAATTACTCAGCGAGTGTGGATTGTCGCTTTCTGTTTTTTTTTCTTTGCACTTGCTACGAATTTTCTTAACACGTCGTTGTTACGAAATGAGTTCAAAAAAATCGTATTCTCAATATTTTCGGCCTGCCTACAAAGCCGTATTTCCAACAATTAAAGAATCCTTCGAAGGAAATAACTATGCATTTTGTAACGTGTGCGACTTGATAATAAGTCACGGTGGAAGAAGCGACATTGTGAAGCATGTTAAGTCTAAAAGCATGAAGTAATTCTTGGCTTCAACAACGTCAAAGAAAGTGGATGATTTTTTTTTCAAATTCGGTTACGAATTCGGATGCCAATGTCATTTTGGCAGAGTGTTTGTTTACTGCATTCCTCATAGAACACACGTGCCGCTAAGCACTGTTCTGGAGAAGATAGACTTGATGTCCTCATTGGACCTTAAAAAGAATAAAAGAGCTGATGGAACACCAAAATATGATAGACTAGCAAGAGTTTAGTGCATTCTCGAATTCCACACAGTAACGCTTCGAGTCTTCAGTGTTGTGAAAAAACAAAATTTTTCGTTTTTCAGTTTCACCAAACTCTGAAAAACATTTAATTGCTAAATGTTATGAGGAAAACTAATTGTTATGACAGGAAATTTTTCCAAAGAATTTTGGCTAAAGCCAAAAATGCACTCTAAATTCATTGCAATAATTTTTTTGTGTAGCATTAATTCTTGTTTTTTGTTCCTAATAACTTTTTTTAGTTACTACTTAATTGGATTTACTAATGTAAGTACAATTTTCTTTTTCTATTTGTATAAATTGTTATTTTTTTAATATCAAGCTGATATTTATTCGTGTTCTTCTGAATTTTGGAGAAATCTTCTGAAATTTGGGGGAGAAATTTTGAATTTTTATCTTTAGAGGTTGGCAGGTAGCCGGTGTTTCTGGGTTTATATTATTAAGGTAATGATTGAT